AAAATATGTTCTCAACCTTAAAATCTTTTACAGAGGTCTTGTTTCATATATTTAGGTTTATAGTTAATTAAATGGAAGATTTAATTAACACAGTAATGGCACAGTACCTACCTGTGCCAAAACTGTGCTAGAGGCTTCAACATGTGTCAGCATATCGCATCTAATCCTGAGTTTGTCCAGGAGGCATATATCCCATTACTGTGAGCTAGGCTTTATTTGTTCCTAGCAGTCTGGACTTAGTTCTACATGATACTGACTACAGCAATCAATCCTCCTCCAATCCTGCTAATGTGGAGGCTATTGAAAGCTCCAATGGCTCTGGTAGATTTTAGAAATATCATGATACATAGGCAAGGCAACTGCTTTTAAGAAAGCAATAGTTACATAGATAATTGGCTCCTGGACTTCTGTTTAGCAAAAATCAATGTCAATTTTCAGTCATATTTGTGTGAGGACTGCAAGTAATTAAAATGAACCATAATTTGGATCTAAATCCTTATAGATTTTCTCAACACATGTGATTGCTCAATAAATGTTAGCATAAATATGTGACTGAAAATTAAAATATTAGGCGCTGCCAAAATCTAAGAAGAATTAGCTGGTTCAACTGTGCATAAATAAATAAGGAGTGTGAAAAAGAGAATCCATTTATGTAAATTTCCAATTTCTCTTTCAATACTTCTGTTCCCATTTATTGGGGCCCTAACAAAGCCTGTTTATAGAGGAAACAGTACTTTGCTTGTATCAGATTAGTAACATTCTAAACGAAGAATCTGTGTTCCCAAGTCACCATGTCCACAGAGTTTAAATGTGAATCCATATCCATCACACAGGATCCTAACTATAATTGCAATCCTATGCAGATTAAAAAATTAGCATTCTAATTACCCAGCCATTTAGAAGAATGAGATAGGACTTCACTGGGGACTCAGTGATAAAGCATCCGCCTGCCAATTCAGAAGACACAGATCCAGGAAGATACCTCATGCTGTGGAGTAACTAAATCCATGTGCCACACTATTGAAACTGTGCTCTAGAGCCTGGGACCCACAACTACTGAGCCCATGTGCTGCAGCTACTGAAGCCTGTGTGCCCTGGAGCCTGTGCTCCGAAACAAAAGAAGCCACGGCAGTGAGAAGCCCATGCACTGCAACTAGAGGAGCCCCTGCTTGCTGCAACTAGAGAAAAGCCCATAAAGCAACAAAGACCCAGCACAGCCAAAAACAAATAAATCAAACTGTATAAAAAAGAATGAAATAATGCCATTTGCAACAGCACTGCATATGAAGGTCATACTGAGTGAAGTAAGTCAGATGGAGAAGGAGAAATTGTGTATGACATCCCTTGTATGAGGAATCTAAAAAGAAATGATACAAATGAACTTACTTACAAAACAGAAAGAGACTCATAGACCTAGAAAATTAATTTATGGTTACCGGGGATGGGGGAAGGGGTAGTTAGGGAGTTTGGGATAGTTATATACACATTGCTATATTTCAAATGGATAAAAATCAAGGACCTATTGTATAGCACATTGAACTCTGCTCAACGTTAATGTGGCAGCCTGGATGGGAGAGGGGTTTGGGGGAGAAGGAATACGGGTATATGTATGGCTGAGTCCCTTCATTGTTCACCTGAAACTATCACAACACTGTTAATTGGCTATACCCCAATACAAAATAAAAAGTTCAAAAGAAAAAAAATCAACATTCATTCCCAACGGTGTTGACTTTTCTTGGTGGATCATTTGCTTGTGACTGTATTTCATGAGCTCTCTAATTGCATGCTACCAGAGGACAAAAGGTTGTAGGTTGCTCTTTCCTCTATAGATGCAATAAACCAAAGCAACAGTGTGATATTTAAGAGTATCAAGAGTGTCCTTGGGTGTGAGGCAGAAGTAGACTGGTGCTGGTTCAAACTGGCTCATGAGAACTGCTTGTGTTCATTTCTTCCCAACTCAGCTTCTATGACTTCATGTTGGTAACCTGAAACTGGATATGGTAGGATTCTTTATATTGTGGAAATTGGCAAACAATGCAAATCAGGTTTGTTTGTTGATTTACTTATTTGGAGCTGGCTTATTAGCTCACCACTGGTGTGGGTGATTTCTGTCTCCCAAAGGAAGAAACACACAGTGTTACTCAATTTTTACTTGCATTATCCCATACTGACCTCACGCCAGGTCAGCTGAGCTATTACCTTAAGAGTGTGCAAGACTACAGGCAACAGAAAGATCTGCAACTGTTAGCAAATTTATATTGAGTGCCTGTTACACTCTGTGGAGGTGACTCAAGTCAGGGACAGTCCCTTGCTCTCATGGTTTTACAACTGTTGGAAGAAATTGATGTCAGCCCAAGAGAATGTAAATGTAAAATTCAGCTGTGGTAAGAGCTGTGAAGGTGGGATAAATAGCATTTCCAGCATGTATAAAAGGAGGATTTGACCTCTTCAGGGAAAGAAGGAAAGCCCTTACTGAATGATGATTTCACTGAGATTGAAAGAAACAGTGGGATTTAAACAGACAAAGATGGGAAGGTGCATAGTTCACAGGAGGTGCTCAATAAAGATGAATGGTGGATAAACTGCCTGTTTGTGTACTGGAATTTCTGTTCAACCTTGATACCAGTTTCCTGGGAAACCTGGATTTCTTTTGATTTTAAAAGTGTGTCACTCTGGGATGACAGCTGGAAGTGTCTTTCTGACCCTTCTTTGGTCTCTTTTAAAAACTGGCTTTCAGGGACCGTTGGCACCTGCTCGCTGGAAGCACCCCAGCTCTGGGTGAGATCATATGATAGGAGAGGCATGGCCTTTAGGTACACACCAACCACACAAGTAGCTGTGGTTTGCCTAGTTAAAAAAAAAAAAAAATTATTCTACTTTAGAAGTCCAAAAACTGCCAGCTTCTTGAGTTGTTGTGACGCAGTCTGTTTTCATGTCTGGCTGCTTGTTTCCATGAGCACGGTGACACATGTTCTGTCTTGTCCCTTTGCCATATGGCTTATGGAGGTAAAATTCCCTTAAGGAAGAACAGTCACAGACACACACACATACACACACACACACACACAGAACCACATAATCATTACCATATTAACGCAGTGGAACTTAAGTGTGGAATGCAATTGCATGTGGAATGTCATAACTTTTTGCTAAAAGAAGCAAAATATAATTATAATATATATAGAATATATTATATACATATATATTCTATATATATAGATGCTCTTACCTAGGGTTTCATGTCTATGTGTGGCTCTAAAGCCTACGCACTTTCTACTATGCTCAAACTGCCTTTATTTCTTTTTTCTCCCATACTCTAGTCTTCATGCATAAGAATTTTGAATAAATTATTTAGTTCTGTCTCCAAATATCAGACTAATTTTTTTTCTAGTCTTAGCATTGAAGTAACCATACTATTCAAGTGATAGGATTCATATTAAACTTCTTATCTGCTTTCAAATGCTGCTGAAATTAAGTAAAAATAGATAACATTTAAAAAAAGATCTTTTAAATATAAAGATCTTTAAGGATTTCTGAGAGTCTAGGATGTTCAAGTGAAAGTTACCTGCTCTGGGTTCCTACTGATGAAATATTTTAAACAGAGTCCCTGATATTGACTTACTGTGATTATCCTGGAGACATTCAAGTCCAGAGTGTAGAACCACAGCAGTAGTAACAGACACAAGGTTTGTAATATAGAAACACAAAGTTCAGAAACTTTACCAAAATCAAAATATATTTAGAACCCAGCCAACCTGGAGGAAATTGTTACATAACAAAAAAGAGAAAATGCATTAGGTGAACTACCTCTGCGAAAGTAAAGTGAAAGCAGCTGAAGTTGTCTTTCTACCGTATGATTGCATACGCAGGACACATTAAGGCATCAGGCTGAATTAGGTGACTTTGATCAGGCCGTCCTTAGAGTCAGTGCGCGGCACCACTTCCGTCTGTCTGTCTGTAGTTATGGGTAACTTCGGCAAGAGGTGAGCCAGGGACAAATCACCCCAGACACCCTCCTCTGGGTACGTGCTAAGCTCCCCTGAAGGTCCCAAGGAAGAATAAAGCAGATCTACTGAAATTAAGCCCCAGGCCTAAGCCAAGAGTTTAACTGGAAGTAATTTTAAAGCCTGGCTTAATCTGTTTGTGAAAAATATATACCAATGTCACAGTTTTAAAAACTGGATTGTAAACATCATGCTCCACCTCTTATTTATCCTGGACAATTTTCGCTTTGACAACCCAAAGTCCATCACATAGATTCTTATTCTTTCTTAGGGTTTTCTTGGCTAAATATTTCCTACATAGAGGTTTTATCACAGTTCACTTGAAACTATCCCAACATTGTTAATTGGCTGTATCCCAGTACAAAATAAAAGGGTCACAAAAAAGGCATTTGATCACTTACTGTCCTGTGTTTTGTTTATATGTGGCTCGTTATATTTTGAGTTATAGTAAGTGAAAGTGAAAGTTGCTCAGTTGTGTCTGACTCTTTGCAATACCATGTACTGTACGTTCATGGAATTCTCCAGGCCAGAATAATGGCGTGGGTAGCCTTTCCCTTCTCCAAGGGATCTTCCCAACCCAGGGATTGAACCCAGGTCTCCAGCATTGAAGGCAGATTCTTTACCAGTTGGGCCACAGGGAGCCCAGAGTTTAATAAGGCAAAAGATAAAATAAAAAAAAAAAATTTTTTTAGTAAAAGGCATATTTGAGTTGGGGCTTCCCTGATACCTCAGTTGGAAAAGAATCCACCTGCAATGCAGAAGACCCACGTTCGATTCCTGGGTTGGGAAGATCTGCTGAAGAAGGGATAGCCTATCCACTCCAGTATTCTTGGGTTTCCTTTGTGGCTCAGCTGGCAAAGAATCTGTCTGCAATGCAGGAGACCTAGGTTCGATCTCCAGGTTGGGAAGATCTCCTGGAGAAAGGAAAGGCTACCCACTCCAGTATTCTGGACTGGAGAATTCCATAGATTGTATAGTCCATGAGGTCACAAAGAGTTGGACACGACTGAGTGACTTTCACCTCACTTGAGTTAAGGTGATTTTACTTCTCTTATTTTGATGATTGTATTATCTCCACTAAGTTTACAAGAGTTTTCATTAATTTTGGTCTTGTTTTTGGAGACCATGCTTTAAATTTGCAGCATGCATTCTACTCTCAGAAGGCTGGTTAGAGTGAAGGTTGAATTTCAGATACTGTTGTCTATCTATCTATCCATCAACTTATTCATTCACTTATTTTTACCACTCTTCATTAAACTGTAGTTTCCTAATTTGACAAGTACTATAAATACTTCTTCTAATTAGGATGTTTTCATGATTGTTACATCATAGATAAAAAGTATTGATTTTCAGTAAATATTTATTTAGGATCTTCCCTCTGAATAAATGAAAGGTTGAACAGCTATAAATAAAATCTGCATAATATTGAAGGAAATATTCATTCTGAGCCATTATATTTATTGAAATTAGTTGACTATACTAATAAAAAGATAGAAAACACTCAATAAATTATTACTGTATATTTCCTTCATAGCAGGAACCAAGATAATATTTTTGGTGTTTAGACTGAAGTTTCCTTGACTATTAGCCACACAGATAGTTCTAACAATTTTGAGCTCTTATAAGAGTATGTTGTAGTCTGGGATTTCTGACCACATTATTTATCTCTAAAAAATGTACTTAGCATTAATTTTCAGTTTATCCTTATATGAATTCTTTGGTTTGTGGCAAAAGATGAGGAAGTATAATATTTCTGAGAGCTGAGTTTAACTGGAGAAATTCAGGATACTATAGCAGAATAATGACATTTCAGGCAAGGGGATATTAGGTAAAGAAAAAAGCAAAGGGATTTCATTATAATTATAGATCTTTAAAACACAGAAAAAGAAACAGTCAGCCTGTTTTCCCCAATTCATTCTGTGTGACCCCATTCTCTCAGCCCCCGTTTGAAATATTTGCTGCTGATTCTGGCTTCCTCCCTTCACTGCGTGTTTCAAATAATTTCTTCATAAGAGCACACACCATATTCTCTGCAGTTAATGACTTTGCAAAAATGGCTTATTTTTGAGTTTCTTCATGTCTTTTGTTTTATTTTCTCTGCTAGGTTGTCCAGATAGTAGTTGTTCCAAGAACCTGCTGTAAATCAGTCACTCATATGACAAGCCTTGGGAAGATAACCATGTTCTGCTGTTGATGACCTTGCAGAAGACCTGACCATAACACCTCTTAACTTCACTTCTTTTATTTTTATTTGGAAAGTATTTATTTCTTCAAAAGGCAATAAAGTCTATGGAGCAATAAAAATTGGCATTTAATATGATACACAGTGATATGATGAATTAATTCAGATTGCATGGGAACACTATAAGTGTGCATAAAAGAATGTGGTACAAGGAGGTATGTGGAAATCATGGTATATCATCTATCAGAATCAAATTTTCTTTGCTTTGTTTCCTTTTTAAGTAATTAATGATGGAGGAGTGATAAATACGAGTTTGTTTTTAAGTTAACAACAGGTCAAAACATATTCCTGTATTTGAGTAAGTTCTATTGAATAAGTTTATGGGAATATTCAGTGGCAATTGAATAAAAAATTGCATGTCTATTATGCAAACTCAAAAGAAATAAATACTTGTGAATATATCTTCTCACAGCAAGGCAAGGTTTCAGAAAGAATAAAAACATTTCACTGAATAGTAATAGATCTTGAAAAGTTTTCAGTAAATACATAATGGGATGTGGAAATGAAATATTACTGGAGTATTATGCAGTCCTTTGATGAAATAGGTTTTCCCCATTTGTCTGAGAAACTCACTTAAGCTAGCTTAAAATTTTTAAGAAAGAGGTGGACATGCCACCACTTAATCACTCACCTACTGGTTACATCTACTTAATTTCCTGTCATTATAAATGAGAGCTGTAATTAACATCTTTTTACATATCTTTGTATATCTTTGAGGTTGCTGAGCTAAAAATATATGTATATTTTATTTTACATTTTAATAGATTCTATCAAAATGCTTTCCGAAAAGGTGTTAATAATTTGCTTCTTAAAATACCATTTTTCTACTGGATATATCCTACCAGTAGCAAGCATTAATATTTTAAAATTTTAGCCTTCTATGACAGGGTAAAATGAATCCATTAAAAACTACCAGAATAAGTAAGTGAATTCATTATGGTTGTAGAATAAGAAGGTCAATATACAAAAATCAATTCTATACCTTTATATTAGCAGTAAACAAGTTGAAAACAGCAGATTACAATAGCAGTCTTACTTAGGGGTAAGTTTAGCTATATCTATCGCAAGACCTGTATGATGAAAACTTAGAAAAGTATTTTCTCAGACTGATCTATAACCAGTAAAACACCAAGCAAAATATTTATTTGGTGGTAGTAGCCATATTTAAATAACTAAAAGTAATTTCTCATAACCAGATTGCTAGAATGTTAAAATAGCGTCCGATTTGCTTTATAGGTTAGTAGTCAAACATGAATATCAAATGATGTTTGATACAGGACAATTAAACTGATTTTTTAAAATACTTAAACATTTCTCTTAAAAGTAGAAAGTAGGGTGATCTTACATACTACTTAGCCAGAGACAGTTCCTGTTTATGCCTTTTGTCCTTACATAATTATTAATAATATCCTCTGTCAATCTTAAAGCTACTTTGATTTCAATGATGAATTTTATGGTCATCTTGATAAATAAGAACTCAGTGGTTAAATTTTTCCACATTAAGCAAAAAAGTTGAATAAAATTTAATAATAATCACCTGCTTTTATGTTGAACTGGTAGAGTCTTACGTAAGATTTTAATTCCCTATTGTGAGTGTACACATGTATACTATATATAGCATAAAAAGTGAAGTGGAAGTGTTATTTGCTCGGTTGTGTCTGACTCTTTGTGACCCCATGATCTGTTGCCCGTCAGGATCCTTTGTCTATGGAATTCTCCAGGCTAGAATACTGGAGTGGGTAGCCATTCCCTTCTCCAGGGGATCTTCCCAACCCAGGGATTGAACCTGGGTCTCCCATATGCATATATAGTATTTGTTATTTTCTTAATGGTCTCCTTGGGATTATTGTTAGCATATAAGTTTTAAAACCATCTATTTGTATTAAGAGTAACAATTTCAATAGTATGCAGAAATCTTGCTCCAATATTGCTCTGTTTCCTCCCTCTCCATTGTGTTACTATTGTCATACAAATTACATCTTTAAGGATTATAAGCCCATCAATACATTTATATGATTGTTGTTTATACAGTTACTTTTTAAATCAAATAGAAGAATAAAAAGAATCACAAAAAATACATGTATATAATCTTTATTGAACCATATATTCTTCATTACTGGTACTTTTACTTCTTCATGTGGATTCAACTATTGTCTAGTGTTCTGTAATTTCAGCTTGAAGGTCTACCTTTAATATTTTTTGGACTTTGTTTATTTTGTAATGTCTTCATTTTCTCTTCATTTTAGAAGTATAGTTTAACTGGATGTAAAATTCTTGGTTGAATGTCTTTTTCTTACAACACTTTGAAAATATTCTCACAATGCCTTCTGGCCTTATTATCTTCCGATTAGTGGTCAGAATGTAATAGTTATTGAGAATATTTTGTAAATGTTGAGTCACATTTCTCTTGTTTTTCTTTTTCAAGATTCTTTATTTCTGTTTTTCTAAAGTTTGACAATGATTTGTCTAGACTTTGATATCTTTGAATTTATTATATTTGGGATTTACTGAGTTTTTTGAATGTGCAGATTGTTTTACATCAAATTTGGAAAGTTTTTAACAATCATTTGCTCAAATATTCCTCCTGCTTCTTCCTCTGTCTCCTTTCCTTCTTGGGCTGCCCTTTTATTTATCTTGGTGAAATTGATGTCATCACATAGGTCTCTGAGGTTCTGTTTATTTTTATTTTTTTCATTCTCTCATCCTCTCTGTTGTTTAGGCTGGATAATCTCAATCTATTTATCTTCAAGTCCACTTATTCATCTCTGATTCTTTTTCTTCTGTCAGTTCAAATTTGACACTTCAAATTTGAGCCTTTCTGGTGGAATTTTCATTTCAGTTATTGTACTTTTCAATTCCAGAATAAACTTTTGGTTTATTTTTTATAATTTCTACTTCTTTATTAGTATTCTCTATTTGAGAAAACATCTTTCTCATACTTTTCTGTAATCCTTTAGTATTAGTCCTTTAGTTCTTTAAACATACATACAATAGCTGATTTAAATCTTTGTCTAGGCAATTCAGTGTCTGTGTTTCCACTTTTTTCCTGTGTATGAGCCATAACTTCATGTTGCTTTGTGTGTGTTATAATTTTTATGTTGAAAATGGACATTTAAGATAATGTAATAAAGCAACTGTGGAAATCTAGAAATCCAAGGATTTACTGTTGTTGCTACTGCTGTTTGCTAAATGACTTTCCAAACTAATTCTGTAAGGTTTATATATTTTACTGTATGTGGCCACCAAAGTCTCTGGGTAGCTTAGTGATAAGTTGGAAATTAGTGATTTCCTTCAAGGACTTCAACTAGTTAATCTTCTGCCCTTTGCTGAGGGTCTCTGTGTGTGTGTGTATGTGTGCATGTGTGTGCGTGTACACATGTGTGTATGCATGTGGATTGAGGTATATTTTCAACGTCAGTCAGGGAGTTTTTATTATGTAAAAAAATGAATTACTTTTTATACCATATACCATCTATGTCTTAAGTTGAAAGCAGTGTACACATTCTTAAAATGTTTTTAAACAGCAAAAATAAACACTGCTTCTTTTTAGACTATACATTGCCTTTGTGTTCTAATTTTTAAAAAATGACTGTCTTACTATACTCAGACATCTCAAGGACCATGTGGCAATGCTTACAAACACCTTCTTTCTGTAGCAAAATACTTGCTGTTCACAGAAGTAAATGTGTCATGTTTACATTAGACTTAGAGAGTAAGTAACTGGGTCGGCAGAAGTCTTGAACAGATTGTCTGCTTATATATCATTGTTAGTATAAAAAGTGCAATAGTGAAACACACTCCCAACAATTCACTGTAACTCTGCAATATGCCTTTCAGCATGTGGAGTGCTGAGGCTTCAGAATGTTTTTAAATGTTCTGTTGCATTTGATGTCTTTTTGTGTATACCCCAAAGCATAATTTAACGTTTAATACTCTTTAAATTAACAAAAATTCTGAAGAAACTATGAAAAGCATCTATAAAGGCTTACTTCATCTAATCTAAGATTAAAGGGTTCTAAAGGAAAATCATTATTAGAATTTGGGGCACAGCATTCATTTTTTTTTCAAACATTTTAGCATGCTACTTTTCATAGTAAAACACATATTTAATGCATGGAAGCTACTGACTCTTCGGGTTCTTTATACGAGAAACTAAGAGGGAGAATGCCTTCCTCAAAATAAAACATATCATAAATACAAGCATGATACTTAAATTAGCATAAATATTTGTGATTTGTGTTTCTAATTTGCATAATTAGTAATGTCTAATTTAATTGGCACACTTGAACTGAAATCAAAATTTCACACCAGCCATATGTATTATCAGTAGGATTCTACAAAGGTTTCTAAACCTCATACAAGAGTTTGTGCTTTAAGCTGAAAAAGCCAATAGCTATCTACAGAATGCTTCTCTGAGAAATCAAAATGTTACTTCAAAATCTCTTTGTATAGTAGAGAATAATGAGGGAAGAATCTAACATTTGTGGAAGAACTTCCCTTCTGAGCTATATCTTTAACTTTGTTCCCTATTAGATCCCTGTATTTTCTGATTTTGAGCATTGCAGTGACACCACTGTGTGCTGATCTTCACCATAGGCAATTTAGCTCTTATCACACCATTGTGGCACTGTGCTTTTGCCAGAAATTGGGGGGCTAAGAACTCCTTCCCTGCAGTTTGTGATACACTCTGCCATGGGGAAATCTAAGAGGTATCCCTAGTGCCTTGCATTTTACAAGGACTTCATGAATATGATCTCTTAATCCTGTTTACAGTTTCTCTCTCTCTCCTTACAGGATTCCATATTTGTCAGAAGAGACCAAGCTGAGAATTGAATGCAGGCATACTATTTATTTTCCAATCTTTCTCACTGGCCACTTGATCATTAAAACCTATTTCTTCTTCCTTGAGCCAAAACAAAGAAGTAGACCAAA